GTAGAGATTATAACAGAATCTATATTGATAATGAAAATCAGCAAATGTAAGTAAATGATATCCAGCTGTATTAGTTAACAAAGATATTGCATTACATGGAAATTCCATGCTAAAATGTGATTTTCCTAGATCCTCTATACTGGAATATATCATTATACAAGAATTATTAAACAAGTACATTATACATCCAAATCATTTACTTACCACGAAATATCAAAGATAGATGATGTATCCTTTTCTTTGAAAATTCTAGAACCAATCTGAAAGTATCGCACAGATGGTAATAGCGGTGTTGAGAATTTTTTTCTTTTTCCTTGCTATTGAGAAAAAAATTAAAAAAAAATGGATGCATTTATAAAATATACTTATAACGATTTTATATTTATTACATAGATACCTCAAATGTATTCCAATTATACGATTTAAAGTGTAAGGATTGCATTTCCTGAATTTCTGAGCGTTCTTTAGCAGCTTGTAGCATTTTTTGCAATTTTTCTGGAATTGGTTTCCATACACTCTCTATATTTATCGATTCAATTTTTTCAGGAACTAATTCAGGTTTGTAAGATTTAAATAATCTAAAATATTTTTTAGACAATTGTTTTGTTAAAAAATTCTATACTAATTTACTTATGATTATATAATTACTTACGACAATAATACAACGATATGTCTTTGGGGATGAGAATATTTCTGTTGTAATGTAATCAATCTTGTCACGTTTCTACGTGTAACATCTTCAGGTTTTGTTAAAACATAAATAAGATATGCTATATGTTTTTCCTAAAATAAAAGTAACATAATATACAACTCATTCAATACAGAATATCAAATCAAAATATAGAATATAATTACCAATCTTTCCTTTTTCAACATTACATAAAATAAAACACTATAATATATATTTATAACTTTTCTATCTATTAATTGGTAATCCCATAAACCTAAAATCACATATGCAACATAAATCTGTGAACTTTTATATCTTTGACTCTTATTTATGATTAATATGACCATAAATATATTTGTATATTAAAGATAATATTACCAATAATCCATTGCATAATGATAATAGATACAGTAATTGGTATTTCATTCACTGACGATAAACACCAAGTAGCAATTAATTTAAAGGTCCTTTCAGGAATTTTACGTCTTGGAATTAAACACTTTATTAAGTCCTTTAATTTAGTAGCACCTATTGAACACTTCTTTTAGTTTATTATATATAATAAAGTATTATTGCTTAACTTTAAGTATATAAAATTTACAAACCTAAGTCTGTATTTATAATAATATTTGCTAATAAATTAATATCTTCATCTTCTAAACCTTTTGATGCTAAATAAGTTTGTAATGTGTTCAGTGAATTTCGAAAATTATGAAAAGATTTTCCTTTTGCTGTAAAAAAATATTAAAGAATTTAATAATTTAATATATAATAAATACACTATTCTTGCTAGAAAAATATACTTTAAGATAAAAAAATATATAATATTCAATCATCTTGTGTAAGTAATACTTGATATAATTGTTCACGTACCTTTTAATGTTTGTAAAAAGATTACACAATCATTTTGCACTTTGCTGTCCATTGTTATAATTATAGCAGGATTTTAAACATTTATATTTCACTTAAAATATATTAACTATATTATTACTTGCACTGAAATGAATGTTTCTGAATTATAGAATAACCAAAACAATGTTAATATTATAATAATAAATATGAATACTTTAGATTTTCTTAATTTGTTGTTGTATTAAACATTTGAAACATTGTGCTTAAAATGTTATACTAACGTATTCTTTTAATATTTCTTTTCATATGTGACTTACTAAATAATATTTCACTTCGTATAAACAGTTTGTAATCATTTTTGGTTTGAAAGCATTCCAACCTGTCGTAACTTCATTTTCCCGCCCTTTTATTATTGTGACTGTTATTCGAAATATTGTGTCAATATGGCTGCTATCGAAATATTTTCAAACTGCGTTAGTTACAAATATAAAAGTAAAATATGTTCTCTAAGCTCACTTGTAGTATTATTTTTTTTAATACTATCGTTTTTTACACCATTCTTTATTATTAGCAATGCAGGAGGTATGCATTCTTTTTATTTTTCATTGATGTTGTTTCTTTCTCAACAGTAGATAATTCGATAGGTATAATAAAAGTCCCTGAATTTGATATATTTTAATTAAAAAGTTTTTAATTTGTTATTTCATATAATAATATTATATTACTAAAACTTGTAATTTTCAGGTTTTTCTCTAATGAATCGTGTGTACACAGAAACACCTGATATATCATTTAACTACAAATATATATTATTAGCATATAGAGATTACAATAGTAATCCTATAGTTTGTTCGACATTTTCAACATATAAAAACAATAAAATTACAGATGACTGTATATTAATAAAGGTTTAAAGATTATTTTTTTAGGTTTTCATTGAAGTAAATTATTTGTGTGCTGTCCGTTACTAAATTTATAAAATTTTAGGTGCGAGAAATAGATACAAATAGTGATGGAATAAAAGATGTTTTGAAATTTGAAGCTCAGTTTTATACAGACACACCAATCAAGAGTTTTAATGTTTTACTTTTCTTTAATTTTAAATTAAAGGTAAATTTAAAAATCATTATTATATTTATATACTTATCCACAGCGCTAAAGTATTCATGCAATTTATCTTTTGTAGCAATTGTTCCAGATGATAATGGAATCAATTGCTGTGTTTAATTATGTATTACACGATGAAGTTCAGGAAGCAAAATTTTTTGGAGATTTAACATTGGAGCAAAAAGGTCTTCTTAATAGTCAAGGTTCCTACAAATTAAACAATCATAGCATTGAAATGGCTGACTATTCGTTAGAGGAATTACTTATGCACAATGCTAAGAGGAAGTGTTAGTAACATTTGTTAACGCATTGATATCTACTGACTTAATTCTATGTTATTTTAAGATATATAGTTAGTTGTCGCTCTTATAGTTCTACCTTGTTTTATATTAACAGCAACTTATATGCATTTTATATTAATTCTTTATTTCTCAAATTAAACTTATTATTAAATCCTCTTGTTATCTGTTAATTTTATTTAAATTTATTATTCGATTCTATATGAAATTATTTTTATTGTTTCTTAAAAAATATTTTTAATATGTTGAATGCCATAGGGATCACTGGTGACCCCCAACCAAATTGGATTACTATAGTTTGCTCAATTAAATGATAATTATTTGAAAACATTTCTATATTATAAATAATGCTATCTAATGCGGTGACATCCAGCTATATGAATGTGCGACAATAATAATGCAATTCAATTAAATGATTTACACTTTTTCCATTTTGTGTATTTTGCTTTGTTAAATCGTGCGGCATTTAACGTGTTAAAGAATTCTAGAAGTTTTCCCAATTTTCATATGTCCATATTTATAAACATTTAATTTTTTCAATTTGCATTTATTATGTCTAAATATTATTCCACGTGAAACAAATATTTTAAGTATAATGTTATAAAGTAATATTCTTTTTTCATTCTCATTTTAATGCCTAAATCTTGCGATATTCAATCATAGAGTTTTGGGAATTATATGCCACGTGCAGCTAAAGTTCAAACGTGAAAATTTCTAACCGTGAAAGAGTTAATATTATTATTTGAAATCAAAAAAGAATATTATAAAATATAGAATATCGTAATAACTTCAAATTTTTCAGTTGCAGCCAAAATAAGCAATGAACGTATAACAAATCGAATCAGATTCTCCAAAGAAGAGAAAGTAGTTATCCATGTAGAACTAATGTATAAAGAATACTTAATTTATTATCAGCCCAGTATTTGGGAAGAACTAAAATGGGCATGGATTCAATATTTATCATGCCTTCTTGTCTTCGCTTATATAACAAAACACATTTTGACTTTTTTATTCTCCAATAAATATTTAAATTGTTATACTATGGTTCCATGGACAAATAAATAATTTTTACAACAATAATTAAACCGCATTCTTGTTCAATCATTGTTAATATAAAATGATACTACCATAGAACTATGTTCGAACCAATTTTCAAAGTTTCGTATCAGTTTCCCGGCCCGCTAATATTGTTGCTCAGCTACAATCTCTTGTAAAATCCGTTATCATTCTATATCAAATGCATAAATCGGATCAATATAAAGTTTACAAAATAACATTTCTTCGCGTAAAACTATTTTACCACATTGACTTCCAAAATAATCTCATAAATCCAAGGGGTAGTATAAGAACTTTCAAAACAGGCAAAAGAAATGAATTTTGATAGCGTGATAAGAAAATCGGCTGATAAATAATGTCAACGTGATTCGATTTTTAACCCTTAACGGTCGAGAGTTTTTTTTGTAATACTCGCCCATAAGACGTTCTATTACGGTAAATATTTTTTGTCAGTGCATAATCAACAAACCAGTGATGTACATAATAAGTTGCAATATTTGATAAAGAAAACTACAGCGATGATAACCCTTTGCACTCGGAAGGCGACTCTCAGTCACCGTTTAATTTGACGCGGTAAAACTATAAAATCTGATATTTAATGTTGAACTTTGTATAATGCCTTGATACGTGAAATATTGGAATAAAATAACTTTGTTCCTCAATGTACTTGTGATTTTCCTTCGAGTTAGTTTCAAGGAATGTCGTCTTCGTCTCGTCAAAAAATGTTAAACATTTCTAACGAGAAACTTCCGAGTGCAAAGGGTTCAAATAAATCAAACCATGACGCTCAATGGGCATTTTATAAGGAAAAACAATAAAGAATAACATAGCCTTAGCCGACTGAATCAACGACTCTTTCCGAACTACGCGCTGGATCAGTTCAATGAGGGTGGAGATTGCGCCGTGTCGTGTCTCCGAGTCTTCCGCCTCTTGCATCCTCGCACAGTCGCATCTAATATACACAACAGTTCTTCCATCAATTATTCGTCCTTTGAACCGTAGTATTTTTAGTGTTAAAACGACGTTAACATGATCCACGAGAAACCGTGCCCGCTATCCTGGAGCGAGTCTTGATCAACGGACAGAAAAGGGTGAGAGCAACGCGACAGAACCACAACATCGAACAGCTGCGGATATTGCTGCGACGTTCACCTTTCGCAGCTTTTCTCGGCTGTTCTTCCCCTAACGATTATGTTTCTATGCTCGCGAGTCAAAGTTTAACGTTAAACTCGACGATGCCGTGATTTGTTATCGGAAATTCATGTTTTCAGGGATTCCGATGAATTCGAGCGAGCCTGTACGAGGTTTCCTGTAGATTCAACATTCCAATTGCAGAGCATTGGAACTGAAAAAGGTGGTTAGCCATGTCTACAAGGTCCAAGGAGAAGGTAGTCGCCGCGTTTCGGAAATTCTTTCGGTCTTCTGAGAAAATCTCGGAGCCAGAAGCTGCGAGCAGTTCGACGAGCTCTCCTTCGAGAAGGCTTCTTAGTCGTCACCATCGGCCAGACGCGGTTACACCATCGGACGGTGCTTTGCCTGAAAATTCGGGCGCTGGCAATTCTGGTCATGGAACTTGTTTCTTCAAGTCCAAGAAGTCCAGTGGGACTTCCGCTCAGGTATTACCCACTGATCTTTGCGCTCTTTTTTCTTTTTGACGCGTTCACCGCCACGAGAATTTTCAACGTTTCGTCTGATGTTATTTATCCTTTCATAACAAAGACGTAGTAGAATCCTTTAACCCTTAGCGCTCTAGTTGATTTTTCAACCTATCAGCAACTCCAAACAATTATAGTAACCCTGTCGAAAATTAAGAAACGTTATATCGTAACATTTTTTAAATGTTTCGTTTTCCTTAGGACAAGATTTGCGCCTGTGGCAAATGTAATGATCTTAGGATAGTTTTTTAAATTTGTTTGTTAAAATATTTAATACGTTTATAGAGTCTGTAGAATGCAAAGGGTTAATAAGTTCGTGTCAGAGTTCTTACGATACACTGTTATCTAGTTATTTACGTTACTAAATATTTTCGTTTTACATCAAATTTTTTATTGGAATCGTTTTTGAACAATTTGGACGTTCTGGTTATCTGTGACTGCCGTGGCAGTCAACGCGTTGATCGTTTAGCGCTTAAGAGTTTAAATAAGAATTCATGATACTGTGGAAATTTTCGATTCTATGTCTTTCGCTTTGAGTGTAAGTCAAACAAATCGAATTTAGAACGGATTCTATATTATTTGTTATATGACAAATGCAACTGTTGGTTGAAGCCGATTATAATTGTTATGCAAATTCTGCATCGTTTTGTACTGTACATACATGCAACGGTCGGTTAATTGTTGACGACATTTATACTGAAATGTAGAACGATCGTATACGGGGTGTCGTTAGGTTTTATTGAACTTTTATTGTTTGAAACGTGTAATAATCTCAGTACCGTTTATTGATACTTGATCGTATTTATTGCGAGGACGATTTAAACGGTTTATAACAATAAGATTTTTAATGTCACTTTAAAGTCATTTTTAAAGTATACATTTTTAATTATTTAATTATTTAAATTAATTATAATTTTTATTATTTATTTTAACTATCTCATATCGGGAACGTTTTTCCAACGTCATAGAACGCAATTAAAGTTTATCTAAATTTTGTTTAATATCATGTTTCAATTACATTTGGTCCTTTAATTGATGAACCTTTTAGCATATTGCTATATAAGTTTCGACAGTATTTCAAGCTTTGAATTTTTCAACAAAACGAAACAGTATATTGCGTAAATTATGATTTCTCGATACACTGAATCTAAATCGGAAATATAATTATAGTAATATAGTAAAATACCTGCCAATTTACATTTCTATTAGATTCCTTTTCATCGTTGAAATTGCAAAGTATGTAATTGCATCGCTATTTTAAATTGTTATCTTAAAATTGTAATTATTTACGAAACAAGTGTTTCCAAGTTCAGATATTTAATTTTCAATCTTTACGCATCCTTACTGTTTTATTCCGAAATTATGAAGTATGGTTTATAACGTACGGCCAATGAAATGCGCGGATAATGTCATCTTGTTATCGGTAAGGGTGTAACGTAACTGACCGTGCTATAGTATTCGAATGAATAGCTTATTGTTGTTGTATATGTATCTCAGAACATTGACATGAATGGTTCTTATGAATTATTGTATCGTGTTGCGTGACAATGTTATAAATACTATCGTATTACAGTTACGCACGTTAATGTGTTTTCAATAACAGAGATAATCTATGTTTGTGTGTACTTATACTCATTAGGGATAGTACATCGATACTTTGTAATTTTACCGATTTCAATGTGGTTTCAAATGAGAATATGAAATTGTTTCTTTATAATTGCTTTGTAGGCAGTTATTATTTGTTTTAAAAGAACTTTTTAAAAGAAATTTTGTTTAAAAGGACAGTATGATATTTATATTAAAAAAGGCAGATGGAGCGAGTAACTCATGTGTTCTATAGTACTATATAGATATATACTTGTCTTGAGACAGTTTAAATGAATCTGTGTTTTCTAGAAGATAAAGTATAAAATATAATTACGAAAAATTAAAATTATAATAAAATTATAATTATTGTTGGGTTCAGTTGTGAGTGAGAGGTCGAGTTGAGGTTTGCAAATGAATCAGGATTAACGGATGAAGTCAATGTTTAGCGATAAAAGTATATTAGAAATTTATTTCTGAAGATTGATTGTCTAGGCTAGACTGTTTGAGGAAAGAATGATCATTAAACTTGACTAATATTTAATGTAAGGTAGCTTAAAAGTAGAATACATTGGTGTGTAGCAATATATATATATAGAGCTGGTAATAGATTTAGAAAAATATGAAATTGACTTAAAGAGATAAGCGTAGGTTGAAGGCAAATGGAATTGAAAATATCGCAAATATTGTTTAAATTAAAGATCAAATAATTTTATGATTTTTTGCCGCTTATGTAACAGAGATGGTAACTTAGTAAGATGAGCTGAATATATTTCTGACACATTTAGATGCATTAAATAAGGAAGTTACAGGATGCATTGACAGAATAAATTAAAATTCAGAATAATGACCATATAGAAAAAAGTACTAATCTTATCATAATCTCAAAACTACGCTACGATGATAGAGATTGAATATACGATATGACAAAAAAGTAGCAATATGGCCATTAGTAGTCAGCTGTTACCTTTCCCTGAATATTGCGATAAAAGGTTTTGAAAGTGAACTAGATACGATATCAGATAAGATTATAGACAACAATGCGGAAGCTTTAGTTTGAGATGGACACAAACTAGATTCAAGAGGACCACACATATTTAACACCAATACTGGAAGAACTATAATTGATCGAAATCGAAAATTGATATAATGATCTGTAATAAGGGTATCATCGAACTCATTGGAAATCTTAAATAATTACACTGGCAAATTATTTATACAGTTCCCGTTAAAAACATTAAAGCCACTATAGTGTTTAACATTTTTTGCGGTAATCGTAATATTCGAAGCCCAAAAGGTAATTTAATAATAATTCTTTCATCGTAGAGTTAATCCTTTGTACTCTAGAAGTGTTTCACTGGAAACACTCAGCATTTTCTAATGAGACACACACGATATTTCTAATCGACGATTCAGACACAACGCTAAAATTACTCTTTTTTTAAATTTTACAAATTCAAACGACTCGACGGAAATAAAAAATTCTTCTATGTTCATTGCGACGCGATCTCCTAAAGGAAAGTCCCCTTTTTAAGAATAACCACTCAAAAGTGATCAATATTTTGTACAGAAGTAAACAACGCCATTTTCTTCGCTATAACTTAGCGATCTTTTTATTTCCTGAAAAAACGTATACGTATAATAAAACTGAAGTTCCGTGATATTTTATATTCTCATTTATTGTAGGGCACCGTGGCGGTACCGGACAAAAGAGTTCGCCTTCGACGGTTAATGAAGGAGCTCGGCGAAATCCAGAGGACCCAGCATCGGCTCGACTCGACCTTCACCGCAGAATTGGTCAACGACAACTTGTTCGAATGGCACGTCAGGCTACACAAGATCGATCCGGAAAGTGAACTGGCTGCGGATATGAGAGAGCTTAATATACCTTACATCCTTTTACACGTTGTCTTCCCAGAAAACTTCCCTTTCGCACCACCCTTTATGCGGGTTATTTCGCCTAGAATCGAGAAGGGGTTCGTAATGGAGGGTGGTGCTATTTGTATGGAGCTTCTTACACCGAGAGGTTGGGCCAGTGGCTACACTATTGAGGCGGTTATCACGCAATTTGCAGCCAGTATTGTTAAGGGACAGGTAGGAGCAGTAACTATAATATTATCTTATTATAAACTTATATAAACTATAATATAATTTTAAGTTATTATAGTTTAAATTATTATTTTTAATTATTATAACATATATATATTGTAAAATATTATATATCTTACTGAGATATCGTTGATAAAAGTTCTTAACCACTTTTCTAGTGAAAATTTTTGTTTTCGAAGATATTGACTGTTGAAAGTTGAAGTTTCGACTCCAGCTGCGATCTGATTATATCTCAGTTTCATATAATCAATATATATCATCAGTATATGTAAATTCTTATTTTCAGGGTCGCGTGGCGAGGAAGCCCAAGTCAAACAAAGAATTCAACAGAAGATCCGCTGAAGAGTCCTTCAGGAGCCTCGTGAAGACCCATGAGAAATTCGGATGGGTGACACCCCCTCTCGCCGAGGGTTGATCACATTAACGGCGCCGATGAAACAAAACATGGTTATTTCAGGGAAAAGTGGAACGTTGCCCACCACGAGCAGGTTTCAAGAGTCAGTTACATTCGTTCTGTTTTTTTCCTTTCGAACACGACAGTATCGTGACTTCATCACGGTTGCGATAACGTGTTTGATGGATCCCACAGGAAACAGATTAGTTGAGATGAGAAATGGAAACGGTTACCAGTTTTATGCAGTACACGAAATGTTATATAGTGGCTTGTACATTAAATTTACTGTCACGGAGTTTCCGTAAGGTTTGTACCATGAAGTAGCGACCATTCCGGGCTTCCCTTGAACTTTTTCGTCTTCCATTTGAAGTTTGTGCGAACATTTTTGTTCATGATATTTGTTTATGTCTTTTTTTTACAAAGCAACTATATAGAAACTTGTTTCTGCATTGAACGATTTGATTAATTAGGGAAAACAGTAATGCCTGTATTAAATTGTTTAAGTTAACGTTTCATTATATTTTGTTTAATTATATGTGTTACAAATCAATAAAATCTGCAGTCTATTAACGAGGAAAAATAAGAAACATCTCATAAATGATGTTATAGATGGATCTTAAATTTGGTCTACTATCATTTTATATAAACTAAATTGTTGCACATGCATAAAAGTGTGTAAAAATATTATATATGAAAAATGGTAATATTACATCCATGATAGTAAACTTTTATATAATGCAGGGAGAAGGCATATAATTTTTTAAAGCAATGTATTCATTCGTGTTTGTTAAAAATTTTAACCCCCTATACATTTATGTCATGGGAGCCTGTAGAGTACATTTTTATATTACAATAGCTAAATGAAAGAAAAAAGATTTAACATTGTTACCTATTCTACAGGCAATGTTTCGTCTATCTAAAATAGATTTAACTTGAGCAATAGTATAATTTACAATGTTATGAGATTACAATTACATTATTACATCGGATCAATATGCGAAACCTCTTGTATTTATTGTAAATTATCGCTAATATCTGGTTAAGCTTAATATCATTGACTTTTTACTTGCTGAACCTTACCCTTTCATGTGACATTATTTTCTTTGTTCTTGATTTACTCATGTTTCTTTTATTTAATTTACATGATTCTTTTATAATCAAATTGCAATTTTCTTTATCTAAAGATTATTGCATCTTTAATGGATGTTAAATTGAGATCAAATTTTTCGGAGTACTTAAATGAAATATACATGTTTCATTAGCTATAAATAGCTCAATCTTGTTATCTTTTCTTTATATCTATTTACGTTTTTATTTTTATTATCTTTCACTTTTTGTTGTTCTTCTCTTATATCCCTTGTTCATATTTTTTATTGCGTTATGCAAACGTTATTTTGTTTTGTTTTTTATTAAAGATAATATTAGTACTATAAATGCACACGCACAGGAACGCACAGATGTATATATCAATGTTTTCATTTAATATTTCGAATTTATTAATCGAAGGATGAAAAGGCATCCTCTTCACATTTCACTTACAGTTTACAGTTTGTTGACTTATTTGTCCTTTACAATACAAATAAGTATTTTAATAAAATTCGATTCATAGTTTTGTTACATTCTTTACTGTGCCTGTCATTAAAACATTGGTTGTTTATATATCAGGCACATTTCTGTCAGTTTCTTATTTTTCTAACAGTATTATGGAGTTTATAAAAAATCCTATGCTTCGTGTACAGTGTAAAAAAGAGGAATTTAATCTTATAGTTCGCTATAAATTCTAACTATTCATTAATAATTTTTGTTTACATGGAAATTGTTGGCAAAATGACAACAATGTCTCTTATTATACTTGAGCTAGAAATATGGTGTACCAAACTGCTCTTGAGCTAATGTAAATGTAGCTGAACTTTCTAAAGCATTGGTATCGTACTGTAATGTAATAGTAACAATAATCACATTTACTTGTAATTGAGAAATTACATCATAGATGTTTCAGAGTGCTTCATTTTTTTGTAGACTATAATTATATACAGAGGTGTTAAAATTATTATCTGAATATATTATAATTTAATTATAAAGACGTTAACAAGATTATTAAATAAAAATGTTTTATTCCTTTCTTTTTGTGTTTTTAAAAACCAATTATTTAAGTATTTGAATTCATAATATTTTCACGTTATAGGATGCACTTATCATTTCATTGAATCAATTCAAATTTTGTAAAACTGTCATTATGTTTTAATAACACTAAATTCCTAATCTGTACGTGGCATCATATTCGAAGATTACCTAAAAATGTATCGATTAAGTGTAATAATCTACAAATATTAAATTAACATAAGTAACATACATAAATTTGTTTATGATTCGAAGCTAATAATTTACACACTTCTGTAACTTTAACAATCTTCCTTTTTCTTTTCTGATGATATACAAGGCACGTCAACGGTTGTTATTGACAGTTTAAATTCATTGCTTCTTTGTTACATTGCCATAAAAAATATTTTTTTGCGGAAAAATATCGTTTCCCCTAAATTACAATTTTGTTCTCTTGATACATCCCACTGATGGTCACAGCTACAATATCGTCTACAAAAACGTTTATAATAATCAGCAGCTTTGTTTGTAGTATCGAGATGATACGAATTTAAATGGAAGAAATACTTTCTTCGCCACTCTTCAGCTATTTGTAAATTCTATCTCGCCACCCTAAAAAACGTTCAAAAATATTTTCCGCAACAATTTGAGCGTAATTCTACGGTTTCACGTTTAGGCATTTTATAATTTAATGGCACGTTTAACTAGTAAGGAAAATGTGCCCATTAAAACGAGTACGTACGTAAAAGTTACTGCTACTTATGGATACATCAGCGAGAACTTATTAAAGAAAGCAGTTTATCGGTATATGAAAGATGATAAATAACTTATGGTTGCTCGTGTCGTATGTACAATTAAATAATATAAATACGTACGGCTGATTTGTTTATGTTACAATATTATGCACGCGAATATAATAAAATCATCATTACACAAAATAATTGTTCTACAGTTTTACCGATAGCATGATAGTGTCTAAATCGTTCTGTGCGCGTTGATAATCGATCGCGTATCCATGATTCGGTTTGACTACTGTACGAGACGTTTCTTTGTCCATTTAAATAAACATTTCGATTACATTGATAGTTTGGCATGTATTTCTTGCTCACGGAACGTAATGTTCTATACACGATTAAAACTTTTGTGTCTAAACTCGCATGATCGATGTGTTTAAGATGCGTTTAACGATCAAAATACCATGTCAAGTTTCCGAGGACATGTTAGGTTGAAAAGAGAGCAGCGATTACTATATATCCATGTTAAATTTTTATCATAAATTATTCAGACTCAGATAGCATCATTTTGAATTCCCCGATAGATAACGATTACTTTTAAAATTCAAATCTTGTTTTAACGAGATATTGATATTGCCTGTACCAGATCATTTTTAAACTCTAGACTTAGTACCGAAGTAACTTCATTACTTTTCAGTACAGATTCTAGACTTTTAGTACCGAAGAGACTTCACTATACCATCATAACTCCTGATCCTGATTACTGAATCAAAAACGATGCCATATGATTCAATACAACAATAGTTTCTCATACAACAATCACATGGAGAAACGAAGATCTAACGTATGCATATAAAGATCGCTGCTCGCTTTTAAGTTAAGCGTATTCCCTAACGCTCAATGTAGTCATCCGAGCCCCTATTGCGAATCAATGCGCGTTAATCGTTGGGAACACGTAATCTCCTTAGAACTAAACGCGGCTGATGTCTCGCGATTGCGTTTATGCGATCCTCTCGAGCGGACCTCGCGTTGTTGTGTTACGATAGAGGAATTCGATAATTGACACACCATCAACTGCATTCTTACGTGCTAAGTATGTGCTGGGTGGTGTGTGCGCATACGAAACGCGGGGTTGCGAATGTTACGTCCAGGACATGTCGGTGATTCGCAAAGTCCGCGCGAAACGGCACAGATTTTATTGGAATGTTGCGCTCGATTCAATCGAGACGCGCAACCGTCGAGCGCGTGTTTTCTGGTTAACGCGTATGAAACGAGCTTGTCGATTTGGTAGCGTCGGTGGTGCTCGTCTTACGAGGATCCCGTGGAAAGCTGTACACACGCGTTACAGCGAACGAAGCGTTTCGTCTGGGCATCTCAATCGCTTTTCTCTTCTTGCACACAGAGGAATAGCTTCACGCATATCATGTTCAGATTATCTGTAACAGGGAAGATCGAATGTTATTACAGTTGGAAGATGACTTGATGTCTAGTGGAACAGCAGGGGTAGGAGGTGTGTTTTTACTTCACAGTTTTACAGTTTTTAGTGATGGCGTGTAACCGTACTGACGAACAGCAAATTGGTGATTGAAAATAGCTGTAATTAGGAAATAAAAACAATAGAACATTGGAGGAGAAAACTAGAACTATCGAGCAGACAAGTTGATTCTTTTAAATTTTTCTGTAGAAACTCTCAGAGTATATCTATTGGGATTTCGACTGACCTATAAAATTCAGTTTGTGTATACTTTTTCAGAGAAGCATTTGTTATCTTTTCAATAATTGTAGAAGAAGAATTCAGGAATGGGTTATTTTTACCTATTCGGTAGTTTTAGTGTTAAACGTGTTGGCAGCTTTGAGTCAATGATAACGTTTTGTATTTAATTGAGAAACAGCTGGGATAACGAGAAAAAAGTAGAACGAAAAAGATTTTATTAATCCATAAAGTTAAATTTAAAGTTATAGTTGAGTGTTATAGTTTATAGATTTACTAACTTATGGTCATTAAACAGCTGTACAATTACAAAAAAGTAAATAAATGGGCATTGATTTGTAAGCTGTTTTCAAAGAAACGAAAGTGTTGGTATATTTAAAGAAATTCGTTGGTATGGAATATTATATTAAATGTTTATGTTCTGTCTTATGTTTGTCGTATTAAAAGAAGTATCGTAAAGAATATGAGAAATAAAATGTAACAAATAATTTCTGAAGAAAAGTCATCTCGAAAGATTTGTAGCTATTTCCGATAGCTAGAACGCAATGTTTCTAAAATTCTAATTTTCAATGACATCAATTTTTAGTAATGTGTTTAATTAATTGTTTTAAACGGTTCATTAATATTTTTCAATCTCGTATGTAAAAAATTTGTAAAATTGACTGTTAATTACTAACTGGTAATCCAAAATGCATTTTTAGTACTGTTACGGTAAACAAGTAGCTTCCATCTTTATCACTAATGTTTATACAATAAGTTTCTTGACGAATTTATAAATTTGAAGCGTAGTATTATAAGTATGCCACAAGTTTTACAAAACCAGTAGAAACAGTGTTAGCAAGTTTAGTGAGTAAATTTTCATACATTAGGTTCAGTAATAAGTTTTTTTCATCCCAATTCAATCGCTTTTTTAGAAAAAGTTTCAAAACAATTTAATTTAAATCGTATTCTGTGTTATTAAATCTAATTTTCCATTCTACTCAGATAGTAGCTTGTCAGTTTACCAGACAAAAAGTTTAGCTCGGTTTGAGAAGAGCAACATTTACTTCATTTTCATTATTGAATTTGTTCCATTTATGTCATTTTTTAAAGAATCAAATAAATAATAATACAGATCATTATAAGTTCTGATAGTGCTTCACCAAAAACATCATATATTTTCTGACAATTGTAAACTCTGTAAATTTTTATCATTTTTAAGGTTTTAAATTTAACTTTTAAAATTCTTATTAACATAAAATAAATATTCAAACTTTTCAAAAATGTTATAATTCATTATCTGCACCGTCAATTACTTATGTATGTCTCGACTCGATAGTATGTCACAGGAACGTACGTCGTACACAACGTACTTGGCTTGCTAGAAACTGCATTCAACATTCCTGGCTAAAACTTGATGAATTGTAAACTACATGTTACCGTGTGTTGCCTGGTGGAATTACATTTTGCTGACGTATTTGTTAGTATTTGTTGCACAAGACAAAGTGAATCTACATGAAGGAATAAGTCGAAAGATAGAAATAAAATTTTTTTATAAGAACTTCAATTTTTAATAAATCTACGTATATTGACCGTTTGTTTGATGCACCGTATATTCTGTGTCAAACACAAGCATAGCGTAAGATACAATTATGTAAACTAGGAATTGCTGCATCAAGACAAACCCAGATATCTTGCAAGAATTTTTGTGAAGTTATTGAGGTGGCAATAAACGTGGAAAAGCTCAAAGTTAGTAATAGAACAATAAAGAATTGAATAAACGTCCGTAGGCCGATAAGATCTCAGGAACTAAATTCGAGCGAAATTCTAGAAAAGAATTTATAAAATATGAAATGTCTCGAAAAATATGAAAAAACAAAAAAAGACTTTAATAAACAACAACTATTGTTCTTATTTTAATATAAGCAATCGTCACAAGAAAAATAATGACGTTAATAACACAATAAATAAATGAGGTACTAATTGGCATCTATCTCTTATAAATTATCATTTATAAATAATAGTCACATATATCTATCTTTTACATCCAGTAGTTTGAATCATGTAAGTCTGCGCGTTTCATGTTGCAAATGTGTATGATAAATAAATAGGTCTTCGGGACGCATTGGAAACATTAAAAAATATAAATGTACAAGAATAGAAATGCGAGAATTACGTCAAATAGAAACCGTAATTAATAAATGGATATTTAACACAGTACCCAAGTTCTATTTAATGGCATGTGGCATTTGACCAAAATTAAAAAATATTTCCGAAGTTGAAGCGAGTACAAATTTTTATTGTATATTTTTCACTTATTCCTTCATGTAGATTCACTTCTTTTCAAATTGTACCATCAATTCGGTAGTAATTTCAAACCGTTTTTAAATTTGTTTGAAACAGTTTTTGAATATCTCTGTGCTAATTATAAGCATTACAATAATAATTGATATACGTAACTGATTGTGATCGTCTATATTAAACTATGACTATTATAAAAATCCAAATCAATTGGTAGAGTTAAGATGTAATACTTAATACGTCTGATCTATAGTCTATTTTTTCGAAGGAGAGACCTAACATGCAGCAGTGCTGATAATAACTGTTCACCTCGTTACAATAACTTTTGACTGATAACTCTTGGATGTTCGAAGCTCGGTTGATAGTTATTATGAAAGAATTTACATCGCTTTCTTCGAAAAATAGACTATAGTACACTGTATTCAGATATTTCGAATATTTAATGTAATTATGAATAAATCGAAGTAGTGATTAGATGTTTATTGCAAACTGTATTTTTTAACGTGTTGATTGTATTGAAGTTTAGTTTACATGTAAAGCATCGAAAACTATTCAATAGTTATTTTTCTATAGTTTCTCATATTCATGTTTACCAGATGAAAATAACCCCAAAAATTGGAGATGATAACGTATTTCATGAAATATCAAGAAAAGTAGTGAAAAAAAAATTTTTATAAGAAAAAACATCTCATAAAAAATTGGTTGTTTTTTACAACGAATGAAGTGGAACGAGTAAATAAAATGTTTAATGACTCATAAATGGCAGTGGTGTAGCTAGAATGGCTTTTTTATCATTGGCATCTTTAAAATTAATTAACATTCTTTGTCAAACATCTAATTGTAACATAATTATGACTCATATTTAAATAATATTATTTTTTAAAAACACCTCAATCGTTTGTTAAAGCTGTTTAATAAATTTAATATATTTAAAATTAAATGTGATTTAATAATAAGTAAATTAATATCAAATTCTGTTGTAGTAACTGTATTTAAATAATGTTCTTTCATTTTTCACACAGTAAATAATTCGAGAGAAATGAGAAAAATATATAATCATTGCTTTGATATATACTTTGTATTAACAAATACGTGCGTTTATATATTTGTTATAATATTAGAAGTTATTAAAAAAATACTCGTTACACAGTTTTCGATGTACAATATGCGTGCCTGGCTTCAGTACAATTAACACGCAGAAATCGTACGATGTCCCAGAAAAATTCAAGTGTGCATAATATTATTAATGAAAAATGAAAATACGTGAAAAATTGTCGGGTAAGAATCGCTGTTTGCTTTGAATTATGCGTGTACGTTGTACGTATGGTCGAGCATTCAGCAGTTTGTAGTTTAACCCTTTGACAACGGCGAACGTGCAATGGAAAGATAACTGTGATGTTGACTAGAATACAAGCGATTATATAAATTGTCGTACATCAATGATTAAAAAGTACTTATCTAGTCATATTAACGTTTCACCTATCGGAGGTCATTTAATGGCGTTTTAAGAATCAGTAATTAATCAGTAAAGAATCAATAATTAATAAGGTAAAAGGAAGAAGAACTAAGGGATTATTTTAATTGATTTTTCAGTAACTATACCAATTAAAATTGGGTACCAGTTTCGAAGAACGTAGTCTGATCATTTCTTCTGCGATTACTATTTAAGAAAAATAAAATTTTTTTTTATATATTATAGTAATTCTGAAACCTATTTGTAAATCTTCGATAGGTAAAGTGTCAAATTATATATGAGACATTCATAAGTCAAGGCGATTAACTTCATTTCTTTTAGTTTTAGTGCCAAAAAACTTATTGGTTTTATATGTATATAATTATGTCGAATTTTTCTATTTTTCATTTTGTTGAGGTAATCGCTTTGGTAAATGATAACTAATATAAAAAATATAAAATAAAAAAGATACGAAGCCTAACGTCAAGGGGTGAAATAGCGCATCATGGAAGTCGAATTTTCCATTTTTAACTGTCACTGTCTGGAACAAGAAACTTCGATTTCCAAAATGATAAAGAGCTTCGATTTATATTTAAGTAAGGAGCATGCATATTCCGAGATGTCTCAAATTTTTATATAATACGTACATATAAGTATCATTTTTATGAAGTGTTAATTAAAAAATAAATTCTATTCTTGAAACAGTTAAATGGAATAAAATAAGTGTTTTTATTTCTATTCTGTTGTTCCAGTATTGTTTTTGCAAATATTTGATAATAATAAATAGACTGCACATTTGTAAATATAAAAACAAGTTTTTAAGAATATAATCAGAAAAATGGAATAGGAAATTGGTTTTCGTAGAAAATATTCTAAAAACCACTACACTTTAAATATTTTATATATATTTTTTATATTTTGCTATTCAAAATATTCGATCATTATAAATTACTTTTCACGTGAGAACATTTTTTTTAATGTAAGCAATGTGGTATACTTAATTAAGATATATCTTAATCATGTGAGGTTTGTTTTAAACGTGTACTAAGTATGTCTAATAAAATTTTAATCGTTAGTATGAAATTAAAACGTGATCGATCATACATAATATTATTTGTTTAAATATCGTAAAATGTGACTTGAAAGTCTGAAGTTGATAAATGAATATACAATTGACGCATCATTAATCATTTGCATTAAAAATATTATATAGTTATGTTGACATGCTTCATTCCGAATGATTATTTTGTTGTTGCTGCATAAATTACATGTAAAAATTATGGGATATAATTATGTGTACAAATTTAAAAATTGATTTTTCTAGTAACATTTGTTACGAATTTGAATTTTGTTATGATTTAAAGGATGCAAGAAGGTTAAAAGTGAAATTATTAAGAAAAATATTCAGCTTTCAATTTTGTTTCGTTAATATGTTTCGCTGTTCGTTTGTGACGTTAATAATTTCGTATTTGGCATGCAGACAACAAAGTAACCATTCAAATTTTTATTAGGATAAATTATAATAATAGTTATAATTATTTTGTTTGTTAGATGTTTAAAAAAATGTCTTAGAAAGTATAGGTTGCATTTAATAAAATATCGTCATCACAAAAACTTATTACTGAAACAAGTTACCTATAGCGAGCCCATTAAATCAAGTTTTTTAATTTTAGAAGATTTTTGTGAATGCTGGTTTAGCAGCCAATGTGTTAACAATAAGAAAATCAGGAAAGGAATAAACAAACACGTCATTTCTAGACCATTATAACAATATTTTTTTAAATTCACGCATAAATCGTTACATGATATTAACACCTTATCTGTGGATGACGCCATGTGGCGTCATATCGAATACCATTATCTGTTATGGTTGACATCATTATGCATATGAACGTCGTCTGCAATAATCAACATATTTTACCTCAGTTTCAGTTAGGGATTGCAAAATTACTGGTAATACCGAAAAAAATCTTTATTACCTAAAATTAATTCTTAATTAATTAATTCTAATCCACAAATAATTAACTTTGTGTTTACCTATACTTCACAGATACGTACATTAATTTTGTTTATTAATAATTTTGTATACGTGTTTCTACACAAATTCAGATCATTCGAAAATCTGTTAAAAAAATATTTATTTTTCTATTAACCCTTCGTATTCAACTATATTTTTCTTAACAAAATTTCATTATTTTTATTTTCAACTGAGATAAAGGTATATATTGTATAAATTAACAGGCAGAACCATTTTATTTCGATGTTACATGTGTAAATACATTATACAAAACTTAATATTGAATTTTAAAATTTATTACTTTCCTGGGTCAAGTTAAATGGTGACTGAAAGGCGTCTATCGAGTGCAAAGGGTTAAATAAAGGCATTTATAGAAAATTGGTATCTATATTTTCTTCTTAGTTTGGCGGTAAGAAATCGACGTTATAACATCGTCAATAGCTGTCAAATCTACTTTTGCATTGAAATCTACATCTTAGTAGATTTTTTATTGAAGAGGGTAAATGGTATTTTCAATATACGAGGTCCTCAAGAGTTGTACGTAACGCACGCACACGTACATACTACAAGTGTCAACACGTATTACGCAGTGCAATCATCCTGTTCGAGAGTGGCCGCAGCATCACATACACACGCACCGCGATTATCCCATTGACAAATGTTCACGAGTATTGCATGCATCACGAGTGTCCCGTTTACAAATGTTAATTCTACATCCTGTGCGTTAAATACAAACGGAATCGTTATCCCATTTTCAAGTATATTTCAATTGAAACGTGCAAGCCGAGGATTACAAGCAGGGATTGAAATCGTTTAGAAAATAATTCTTAAAATGATAGATTCAAACTGTTATATTATAGAAAATGGATTAAGTCATACGTTTTTAGTTTCGAGATATGTAACCCTTTAAAACCCATGAAATTAGAATTTGGAATTAAAAATGCAGTTTTGTTGATAATCAAATCTTAATACCCTAAAAATTATAGACATGATCTAGTATTTAACAATAAAATATTGATTACATTCGTGCATATTTTGATGACACCACCAATCAGTCTGTGATTATGATTTTAAATTGAGACCAGTAGGCTGCATAAATAAAACAGAAGATCGTTTCAGAGTGAAACCATGGGGCAGGACGGGGTTAAATATTTATTTGGGTAGATTAAAAAATATTTCTACACTATGTAAGAAAATATTTTAGAATATATTTAGTCTTGAAAAATGAGAATTTATTATTGTGTTGTAACGTTGTGTGTAACTTATAAAGAAATATGATTTTTGATATTTGAAATGATGGGCCACTTTCAAAATTAAAGACACATATGTCAGTTCTGACAAAATAACTGTAAAAATTGGGAAAATGTGCATCACTGAATATATCGGTTTCAGTTTTGGTTGTTTGAAACCGATATTATATTGCTCCTGTATTAGTTCTATATTTTGTAATTGTTATTCTTGGTTCTGTGTTGGTCATTACTAAACTGCTCTTCATGCAAATTCAACATTTTAAGAATATAATTAAAACAATAAAATCACAATAAAAAATGTTTTTTCTTCGGAAATATTATAAAAAGCACTACACTTACGATGTTTTGTATATTTTTTCGTATCGTATGCATTGTATGCAATTTTATATTTTAAAATTTCCCATAAATGCATAGAAATTCATTTGTGCAAGATATGATAAAAAAAAAGTTTGAGAACATAATTTGCAAAACGCGACAAAAGAAGTTGATTTGCAAAAATTACGAAACACGTTTACATGAAACAAAGCATAACCCAACTGAATACGGAACATGGGTAATAATATTCGACGAATTTGCAGAACAAGCAATATAGAATAATTCTAGACCCAGACAAAAATAGGACAGGTTCTCACCTCCTATTTTTCTCTAAATCCCCAGTTCATGCGGTAAAATATACATCGGTGAAACCGGGACGAGCGTGTGTACACGTCTCATCGAACACGATCGTTGCACCAAACTAAAGTACACCCAATCTGCGGTTGCAGAACATCACTTGACCACGGGACACATGATCAAGTTCGAAGAGACGAAGATATTGTCGAGATGCAAGAACTACTTCCCGCGCAAATATAGGAAATCTATTAAAATCCTAAAACACTCTAATAACATAAACAGGGACACAGGATATCAACCGAATCTCATTTGGCACTGTCTCCTCCCGTTTTTTAATTGTTCAGCTGAACAATTAAGACAACTGGTGACCATTGATTCGGAACATGAACAGGGTAGATATTTAAAGAGACTCTTCCCTGGTACACATCAGTATCAGTGTGCCTTTAGCCCCCTGATGAAGCCAGCTGCAATGTTGGCGAAACTTTGGGAACAAATTCCTACTGGACACGGCTCTCACCCGAAAGCCAAAAATGAATGTAATATTCCAGGCCGTGAAAGCATTAAAGCTTCAATATAGAATAATATTCCCAAATCTCGCATTCTAAAATCGCATGTATCACGATTCTCAAACTATGTCCCCTAATTATTTCATTATACCTTGCATATCCGTCAAGTGCGTTCCAGGTCAACATGTTCTGTTCAAATATATATCTTTTTCATACTAATACATGCTTTTTTGAAGCCTGTAAGGCAATAGTGTTATAAAGTCAATTTAAAAGACGAAGTTATATAATTGTCCGTACACACATTTATTGTCAGATTATAATTTCTAAAATTAATCACACGACAGATGGCCATAGGTAATCTTGATATCCAACATCTAAAATTAGTTAAAGCTTTTGATACAAGGAGTGACAGATACTTACGAGAAGACCTTATGATCCATTTAGGCTTCTTTTTCCAATGAATAAAGACCCAGTAGACAGGTATTCCAGATAAGATGATTATCACTCCGATACCTACCTCCCAGGGCGATACGTAGCACGGAACTGTTACTAAGAACGCGCAGATAATGAAAAATATGATCGGCAATACAATCGAGACCTGTGAACAGTGAAAGAGAAGAAGCAGATGTTAGTGTATTATTTCTTTCAAGTAATCATAAAGAAGAAATATAAATGAAATAAGTTTATTTAATGTTCCTTTATAAAAAGTGTATGGAATTAAATGATTGTCTGTTGATAGCTGGTACTTATGTAAAGAAAATTCTTTTTAAGTATATATATGAAATTTATTTCTCCCGAAAGCATTTCCTTTGCTTGAAAATCGACAAGAAACTAAATTAAAAATTTGCAGAAATATATATTTTTATATTATATTTCACATATATGTGTAAACTATGAATTCATATAATCTACAGTATAACATTACAACACACAGAATTAGTTTGCAATTTAATCATTGAATTTAAAAAAGATAAGCAATGTAATTTAGTCAAGTATGACGAATTACAGCCTAATAAGAAGAATATCGTAGAGTTCATTGTAAAACAACGATCCAAGTTGAAATTTAAATAATCCATTGTTTTTAGATTATTGAAAGTATAATAAAAGAAAAGAAAAACGTGGATAGGCCTAAGACAATCTATAAAATTATTTAAAAGTGGAAAAAAAGTAATTAATCATGAATATATAAATAGATAATTAAGATTTTGCGTGATATAGGATGTACATACTATGTGCGCCTCATACCAGTGATTTACACGCCAGCATGTATCACTGGTGGTACACGACTAATTTATAACACTGAAATAAATAAATGTTAATAAGTAAATTATTTCTCAGATTATTTATTAACATTTACCCACACTTAGTAATTGAAGTAAAGAAACTCGACACGTAACAAAAGAATGCACTCCAACAGCATTTTTCCAAACATTGTTATTATTACAGCTTATGATTAAACACGTTTGCTTTTGTCATATCTGTTTTGTAGAATTGTAAGATATGTATTACATATGTTCATGTTTTGAGTCATACAAAATTATAAATTTGGTTTAAAACATTTTTAGTGATAAAAGATTATTATGATAATGATTCACTTTTCATTTTTTTTGTTTTCATCATATAATTATTAAAGTGAATTATTACTCAACAATTATCAATCAATTAATAAAAAATATTTACTTTTTAATGATTTTGTGTAAATTAATTACTCGCTGAAAGAGGTAATAATAATAAATACAAAAAGCACGTTAGTTACATTATTGATATATATTCATCATATACGATTATGCAATTAATGTAATAAGCAAAGCGTACGAATAATTCAATCCCTCACTTTGAATGTCTGCTACGTCTGAATTATTAGACAAGTACTAAAATCTCGATGGAATTCGTATTTTATAACGTATCACTTTTTTAATTCCTAGACTTTAACTTTTTATTGCATTCCGTTTCCAATCGGAAACTTAATTTTAAATGTTAATTTTCTCTCATCTCATTTTTAATACTAATTTAGTATTCCTCAATACGATACACGTAACCAATCAAAACTATAAACAAAGCACATAGTGAACAACATCTCTTGTTCCTATGCCGTCCCGAGTGCCAACTCTGGTGCAATGAACGTATATGTATGAAATTCCCATATGAGAACATAAATTGCAAAAGCTATAAATAATATTGTTTATTAATATTTTCTTATTTATTTCATTACCACACCAACATTTAAAAAGAATAACAGTCACGTATTTTTGTTTAATTCTTCATAAGAATTCATGCAATAGAGGTTTAACAAGCTGCTTAGTGTTATAAAAAAGTAGATACGTACTTTTATTGGCCGTTCGCGGTCTGGACTTTTGTAGCGGAGCCAGAGGAGACCAGATACGGACAGCGTGGTGAATAGTGCCTCAACGAAGCTGACATAATTGATTAGCACGTATACATCCTTTATACTTAGAAGTGCCAGGGTGATAATGCACTAGAAACGGAAATTATATTATGGTTTAATGCTCGATCCGGAGTTCAAGTAGTACAGCGAAACAAACATTCTGAAACTATCAGGTTTGATCGTTCTTGTCTTGAATTTCTCTGGTTTCTTTTTTTGCCTGAGATACCGATCGTAGGATAAAATATCTAAGAAACGTGCAGATGGTCTTTTCAAAGAATTTCTAGTACTAAAAGTACTACACTGCTCGAAATGACTGTTTCTATATTTTCTTACAATTATTTAAATTATAGCAGTATTTATTGCACGCTTCATTGTGTTACTCCTAGAAAAATAAGTATTTACCCATATAGAGACTATATAAGTTACTTATAGTCTATAAGTAAACCAACCAATCAATAGAAACGGTCCAAATTATGCAATGGCTTTCAGAATTGTTTAATCTTGATTATATCGAAGAGAAGAATGAGTATTCATCAATTAACTCTTAAAAATGTTTTATCGAGATTTAAAAACCATCGAATAAAATTGAACGTTGAATAAGTCTCGTTATAAGATTGCGAAGAATTAATACTTTACTCACCGAAGATTTTTTAAGAAAATTTATTATTATTGTTATTATTATTATATACAGATACTGATAACAATTACCGAATCTTGATTACCTATAATAGGTGAATTATTTTGAACTAATTTTCTGTAGAGTGTTTCGTGACCAACTGATTGTGATAACAGTATTCACATATCACGAATTTGCATAACACAATAATTTTCAACAACTACTTTTTATACATATTACTATCGATCGATCTTAATTTTCGAGATATCTGCAAAAATATTTTTGTCATTCTGTATTATACTTTTAATGATGCTAGCATTATAGACAGAAGATAAATGAGACAAATTCTCAAATTCAAACAGAAACTTTCACACGCCATTATACATGTATTGTAGAATAATTAGATTAATTGTGATTTTCTTCATTTTCATATTCCAATTAGACTCTTTAAGCAAATTCTACGAAATATTTCTGAAATGAGAACAATCCAGGCAAAAATATAGTTTACATGGAATTTTAAAGATTCATTTACACATAAGCTTACAACTTTTTCTTGATCTCACACAAGAGAAAACGAGATAAATGATAACGGTGTTACTGATTAACGTATGTGAAGCAAATCTATAACGATAACACGTTTATCGGAATCAATATTTGAATGAAGAACAACCAGTTAATCCATTTGTGATAACTTGAGGGGAATTGGACGGAGCAATTTGTTGTTCTGTGGATAGATCTGGCAATATTCTCTTCATAATAATGAGAAAGGTAAAAGATTATACGAATAATATCTGACATTGTGAGATAACGCGCGTATACGTATAATAATTGCCGTAATAGAAGGAGAAAGCCTTCATCGATTAGTATCTGCCTGTCGGGAGCAATAAATTAAATCTTTGATATCGTCAATGGCTTCTTTGATGGCCAATAAACGGCAGCCTTTTCAATTGCTAGTAACTGGATTATTCAAATTTTATATGAGAACGATTGTAGCTAGTGATGGGATCGATCAAGTGTGTCGCAAGTGAAAGTAGCATTTTTTGTAATTAACAATAGAAATTCAAGATGTTAGATTATTTGCATTATTAAGTAAATACATATGTTGTGAAAGTAAAATAGCCCCGATATTTACCAAGTTTAAAGAATTTATACGTTCAAACAGTTCCAAAACTTATATGCAGGGTGTTCCGTATACTTTGTACAGATAATTAACATATTAATGACCGAAAATGTCCTTAGATATTTTTAAAAATCAATACGAAATAAACTATGTAAGTTAGACACCGCTGTATAGCCGTTTGAGTCCCAATCAGCGCAATCGCGCTGTTTAGATTTTATGTCGAAAAAATCCAATACATTTATACGCTACGGACAACTGACGGTGCGCTTACAGTCTGTCGAAATAGCGCGCTCAACTTTTCTGACGCATGTACATCGCATCACTGGTTTTTTATGTAAATAATACAAGTAATACATTTTATATTCTGTTGTTACCTTTCCAATAATTTTTACTGAAAAAACTATAAAAATAATATAAGTTTGACAATGTGAAAATAAGCGTGAATCCGTTACTTAGCAGCAGCAAACATAAATTCAAACAAGCGCTATCCCGCCGCTTGGCTTTTTCAATGACCCCTGGGACTCAAACGAATAGTTTACTACACTCTAAAATAATATTATAGAAATAGTAAAATATATACAAAATTTTCAAGTCAATATATTTTAGGTCAAGGATTATCAATATTTATTCACGTATAAGGATTTTAATATTGACAACAATTGTTTGGAGACAAAATCAGCGGTCATTAAAGTGTTAAGTATAAAATAATTAACTTTGTACAGATAATCCAATTAACACTAGAACTATGTACCAGTCAAAATGACTGGTTTCGATTTGTTTGTTTCGAAATTATTGATATCTTAAAAGCATTGAATATTCGAAATGATTTTGAAAATAGTTTCACTTGAATACTGTAATGAATATCTGAAAAGATATTGATGAAAATAATCTATTGTTACAATTTTTATACGGACTACGTATTAATCGTATTAAATGTTCGGTAGTTCTAGTGTTAAAGGATGATTCTACATGTAAAATGAAATGGAAAGGAAGAATAAAATTTGTTCTTTCAAAGCTTCAATTTTTAGAAAATCGTGTTCAAAAATTTACTTGGTACCGTACACTCAACCACGTGTCAACTTCAAACATCTCGCAACACACTTACTTTTGTCTTTATTTATATTTAAATACAACCTAGTTTAAAAATGGTAGTAACACGAATTAATAATCATGGACTGACGGTCATTTTTTCTTATTGCCGGTACGAAGTAAAAAAGGATACTAGCAGTCTCTAATGATTCTATTATTAATATTAAAAACTCTAAAATAAAAATAGAAATTAAGTATATTGTTTATAAGAGACAAAATGTTTGGCCTTGCAATGTTTAGTCTTGAATTGCTGGAAATGTCCTCGAAGTCACATACAAAGTTGAGTTCTAGGTCATTGGCATGTTTATAAATATAAATACGATTCAAAGCGCCATTGTGAAGCGAGATGCATAAAGTCAACGCGCGTAAAGCGGTTGAATAACACGTACCGAGTAAGGCTTCGAACTCTATTTTCTCGAAACGAAATTTAGAACAAAAAAATTGCTTTCTTTCTTTTTAACATATTTTTTGTTTGTGGTATAATCACCTCTCAGTCAGCTATTCATGGTATGCGAAATACATTGAGTTACTATTCATAAATCTTGTGACCTTTATATATACAGCATCAAGAAAAATTCGAAGGCTTAACGAAGAATGTTCAGTATTTTGAACAGTTCTACAATTCTGTGAAAAAAAAGTCGCAGGATAATTTACTTAAGGTTATTTTCAACTTCTGCTTGTATAGCTTTGGGTTCGTTTTTACAAAAAGGTTTTTATATTACTTAAAAAATGTAGGTGTGTAATAATTTTTTTAACATTTATACAAACGTTTCAAATTGTACAAGTTGCGAGAAAAAACGTATCATTATTTTTTTATTTGTTACATGAAGTAAAAACGAAAGAATGATGATACTATAAACGATGAAAAAATTGTTGCATACCTAAGTTCACTATGGTCTTAACAATTGAACCTTTGCAATGACTACATAGAATTTATTACTTGATTTTTTTGTCAAGTTATTGAACTTTAAATATTCGGGTTAAGCGACAAAGATTTGATAAAGGGTTAAACAACAAAGTTTAGTGACTTACAAGTGACAATCTTACAAGTTATAGCAAGTCACTATAAAAAAGAGATTTGAATTTTCAAGACTATGGTGGATATTGGTATGTAAACAATGTTTCAGTTCATTTTTTTTATTTGCTATACAATATAAAAATACTTTGGAAGAGAGAAATTGTCAAAGCAGTAAAAGTAGAAGAAATGAAAATGGGCCTAAGTGGATTGTTGTCTGATTCTTTTTACACAGTTAAAACAGTTCAAAACACTTCAAATTTTGTCATGGAGGTTTTAAACTCTTTTGTGAGTTATTTTAAATAAATGTAAAATAGGAGTATAGAAGTGTTATAAAATGATATACTATGGTTAATATAAACCAAATTTATTATGTCAACCGTTACATATACACATGTGATTCCGTCCTTGATTCGCGCTCGTGTCAATATTATTAAGCAGTGTAGTACAGCGAGTGACTCGAGAAAACAAGAAAGAGGCACTTACCAAAAAGATGAGGGACGGCATTGGCGTTAAATTTCGAACGTTGATCAGTGCAATAGCAGCAGGTAAGTGTCCATTCCGCGCTCCCACGAAAAACAACCGTGAGGATGCGAAAATCGCTCCATTTAAGGCGCCAAAAGTCGAGCAGGCCACGAAAAATGGCATTATCCAGGACATCACACCCAGCAGTTTGTCCCCAAATGTCTATGGAACAATTAATGGATGCTAAGGTAGTCTTCTTTTATTATAAAAGTCCTGTTGTGCAACACACACCAAATGTTGAAGATAAAAGAACTCCAAAGCATGTAGGATATAAAGGGGTCGATATAGCGATGGTGCTTCATTCAAAATTGAATATAAAAGAATGTAAGTCTCTATCAATAAGTAGCTCATATAGCTAAACACGCTATCTATAATGAAATGGATAGTAACTTCTGATATTAAATTAATCAACGTTGATGGAAATTATACTATGTAAATCACATGTACGAGTATATTAATAAGTTGAGAATTTTAATAATTCTACTGAAAGAATTGGTAAGCTACAAATTTCATTAATTATACTAAAAAATTGAGCAGTTATAAATCTTGATATTTCTACTGAAAAAATTAGCAAGTTACAAAATTTTAATAATTCTACTAACAAAATAAATAAATTACAAATTTTAATAATTTTACTAAAAAGATTCTTCATCCCCTTCAACTCAATTTTGATTGCATTCAATCTAGAATACACAAACACATAAAAAAAAGATATATTAATTATCAAAGAAAATCGTTTTAGAACTGTTTTCTTTTAATCCGAGAATCTAGACCACCGTGCACCGGTTGAAAATTGTTGTTTTAGAGGAATGTAGATAATTGTACCGATGCAAGGGAGACTTACCACGGCCACGGCGTTCGACGCGAGTATCTCATCTTGTTTCAACACGGCGAAATAAGCGACGTTCACCAAGACGTAAATTATCGTGACCAAAGGTAGGGATATGCAAATAGCCTTTGGCAAGTTCCTGCGAAAATAAGGACGACGATTGATAGGGAGTTAATTTCGCGTTCAGATCGTATGAAATGGGCGTACGCGTGCTACTTTTATTCATCATTTAAATATAACTCTGCAGATGTATAAAGATCCTTCACCGGACGGCCGTTTTTCCAGCGACTCGCTTAAATATAGCGTCGTGAATTTTACAAAGATCTTTGTTCCGTGTAATATCGAAATCTGACAAAAGTACGGTAAGATACGTATTATTAGGTACCGGAAAAAATTCATGCGGGTTCTTAACACTACACGATCGGTTTTAAAATTCCATTTAAAATTCTGCGTTTTGCTCCGTTCATTCAAATTTATATTAATTCCTATATTGTTCGATTAATCGATTTTGAATTTTTGTTTATTCTACTGTTCCTGTTTCCAGTAAGAAAAATGTATCGTCTCACTTGTTTACCTTTATTTTATAACTAATTATTTGACTGGTTGTGGTAGGAATAGGTATATACAATATGTCGTTATATGTAGTATTAAATCAAAATTTAAACAGAGAACGTTTTTGTAAAATAATTTTATTTTGTCTGATACCAACGGTATAAACATAATTTGTTGCTAATACCAATTTCATTTGTTAAACTAGTGAAATACTGATTGAAATCGGACCTCAATTCAGTAGTAACAAGAAAACTGCACCAAATTTTCCGCTGTATAATAGAAACAGTGTACAGCATTTATTTTATTTTATAAAGGCAGAAAATTATTTGAAATTGTAGTGCAAGATGCTTAAGCAACATAGCTCGCGTAAAACGTGTAGTTGAATAAAAGAGACAGAAGTATCCTTGAACTAAATCGAATCAATGATCGACGATAGTTGTTTATTAAGAGTCAATTTTCTATTTTGATAAACAGCACGGGAAAAATTGTATCATTATTGTTTTGTTTTGCCTATTCAACAGCTGATACAAATTTGGTATAAGTCTGATATATTGCTATGAACGATCAGCATGGATAAACATGTGTTATTAAATATGCAACGATGAAACGAAATGAGAACATTTTGAATTTTCTTACACTTCAAGACAAAGATTTCTTTGTTTTCTGAAATAAAGAAACCATTAAGACCATACTGTATTTGAATTTTTACTAACTATACTTAAAGTTATTTGTATTTTCTCCCAATGTACAACCTGTTTATATTAACATAACTAGAAAATGCTTTTTTTCAATCTGTTAATTTATCTGCATCCTTGTTAGTAATCTTAAAGCTATTGAATATTCATGTAAGGAATTCCATTAAAAGACTTGGCTTGGAATTCAAATAAATAGATTAACTTTCCAAAAATTTAATCTAAAATTTGATTATAATTTTGAAAACTAATGCGACTACGAGAAACAGGAACAGTACCAAACTTCGTTTTGTCAACAACAACTGCAGTCTACTATGAATGTATCAAGAACTTAATTAGTTGTTGAGAAGCATGTGTACATATGGGCGATTAATTATTTGCCCCGTTTGACGTTTCATATTGAAAACTTCAGTTTCATGTATGTACACTGACTTAATAATGAGATTGAACAGGTGTGCAATGCCTGATCGTTAGTTACACTTAGGCTCGATACACACTATCAGTTAGCTCTCGATCTGCTTTAGGTTCGACGAAATATTATTCAAGTTTCTATAATACACCTGTTCATGCTATAAATCTTAGTCTCCTCTCGGCTCAATCTTTATCTTTGTCCATCGAAAACAATGGACAGAGAAAGAATATTGAGAGTACTGAGAGTGGATCGATAATTTGTGTCGGGCCTTAACCCTTTCAATATTTAGCTCGTATATCGCACGGGTAAGCTGAATTCTATCGACATGTTTAACCCTTTGCAGACGAGGATTTTTTAAAGTATTAGAAACCTTTACTAGGGAAAGCTAAATTATATATTGAACTTTTAAATACTATGAAAAAAGGAACCTACGCATTCATATCTTGTTCGAATAAATAAATTATTTGCTCGCAAGTTTTTATTTCAGTTATGAAAGCTTGATATCGCCAATATGCCGACATTCGTCCTCAAAGGATTAATCCATGTGTTATACGGATAAGCTGAATTCTTCCGAAATATTTTTGTTTGTTTATTTTATATGTTTCTATATTCTATATGTGATAAAGCGTTTATTCCATTTATATGTTGTTTCGAGTATTTTCTCCTTTTACTGGATTATGAAAGGGTTAAACTGTCTCCGAAGTAAACGATTATTGGAAGATTACAAACAATAGATGATATAATTACTTGTACGGTTCCTTTAGTTCCTCGGTAACGAAGTTCAGGTAATTCCAACCTGAATAAGAAAATAGGCCCGAGTAAACGGCCAGGGCGATGTAGCCAGGCTGCGTGTTGGTGCCAGCCATGGGATCCTGGAAGTTTTCCGTGTGACCCATGCAGAGCCACCAGAACCCAGCTGCGATGATGATCACAAGCGCAAAGATCTTGGTTGCGGTGAATATATCCTGCACTCTTGTCGCCCATTTCACGTTATAACAATTGATGGCTGTCAGTATACCTGCGGACAAGAATCTTTTCATATTTTACCTGTTAACTGAAACCGAATATAGATATTTCGAGGCAACGATGCACACTCTCGTCCGTAAGTATATATAGTTACATTCTTTGAATTAAAAAAAATTGAAGAAAGGTTAATAACTTGTTGGTGAATGTCAACGTTCAGTTCTTTCAAAACTTATCCATAAATACAATTATATTTCCTGCATTAGAAATGAATTTGAGAAAAGAATAATAAATTCCTGGTGGATAATAAAGTTGAGTTATTTAAAAATCGCCCATGAATATAATTACATATTCCGAATTAGAAATAAATTTGAGAAACCATTAATGAATTTTCGGTGATGATGCATATCGAAGTTGAGCTTCCTCAATACTTGTTCATAAGTATTAACAAATATATTTCTTGAAGTAGAAAATTGAAAAATCATTTATAAGTTCTTAGTAATGTTGGATACCAAAATTGAGCACAATTTCATTCTAATACATTATTTATCTCGCTTAAGGCCATATCCTTCGATAGTCTACGAGAGAGATTGTGTATACGTACTATGTAACTGAATAGTAATACTAATTCACGGTCGTTTCATTGACTGGCGACTGAATTCTGTTTTGTCGACGGAATTGAAGGCTCGCTAATACTAGTTTGCGCGATAAAATAGTAAGAACAGTTAGTAACAGAACAGTATATTGAAGTAGTAAAATATATGTCTGTAAATTTCGCATATTGAGATCACAATTCATCACACCGTTTCAAGTAAAATTCAGATTCCGACCTTGCTGTTCTTTGGGTCCCTTTTCAAAATTATTGCCATTAATATCGTCGCTTTTTATTTATTCGTGATTTTACTAGTTTAAAATGCTTTTATATCTGAAAGATACGTAATTAAATGTTTGCTAATATTGAATTAAGGACCATAACAGCATTAAAAAACAGAATATTGATTCTATCTCTGGTGAAACGTAACGTTTAAGAACATTTTACTGCAGTGGTAATTAATTATTATTAAGCTGATGTCCGAGAATATTTTTAAAAGAAAATTATTAAACATGATAATTTGAAAAGTCATTTTTTGTGGATTTATTAATATTTATTTGAAAAATATGCAGCTGTTTTAAAAATAAAAATGTAGATTTAATCCCAACCTATATCAGTTTTAAAAGAGCATACTGAAAATATTGTTGGGAAATAGCAATAAACAAGATTGTTAATTCGAAAAAATGTAGTTGTTATCTAAACTAAAATAAAAAGCTGTAGAAAAATTGTGTTTTGTAAATATTGTATAAGTTTTAGTTCAAACAATAAGACCATATTTATTGAATACATCTGCAAACTGTCAAGTCAACTATCAGTCAACTATGAAAATATTTCGAGAAAAATACATTTAAAATTTTACGCCTAGTTTTATACCACATTAAAAGTGAAATATGATATTTATAACCAATAAACTATTTCTGAGCCATACAGTACTTTTTCTATTTCTTTGTAGAAAGCTTTTGCTTCATTTCTCGCTTGTTCGCGTTTTCTCTCGACACCCAATTCTCTTAGTGCCACGTTCAACATTAAAACTTGTAGCAATAAATTGACTTACTGTCGATTTAAACGTGTTAAAATTGCAGGAACATTGTCCGTTAAAAATTGCTAAAGCTAAATAATTACAGTCAACCTTCGGTTATCACGGTTAATTAGTGTCGTATTATACTAGGTTTAAAATTAGAAGTCATACAAATGCAATGATTTTTGTTTCGTGTTATTGAAAACCGTATTTGAATTCTCCAGATCAATACATAAAACAAACCGTGCAATTGAAGTACCGTATTATGCAATTATCTAATAATATACTTGTTGCAATTTATAATTCATAAAAGCAAAGAAAAAATTCGACATTCTTCATTTGGATAATAAGTTTTGACATCTGTATCAAATACGCACTGTATAGACGTAAGTACAGGGCTGCTCTCACGTCTTGAGCAAAGTCCATCAAGTTGTTCTCTCAAAATGCAGAGGGGCAAAGAGAAGACATCTACTCACGATAAACAGTTCCATAGTTATAGCAAAGTTAACGCCTTGGTTTCAATTCATTTTTATTATTGTCTTAGTCGAGTAAACGAAGAACGCAAATGACACAGAATACGAAAAAGTGAAATACAGCGGAGCCCCGAGTTACATCCTCTCGATTTACGTTGTCCCTACATAACGCGGTAGTACGTTGTTTTTAGTTAATATTCCTCGGTCCATGTTTTGACAAAAACAACTGTGAGGACGATTGTTACAGATAAAGAATGTATTTTAATGGCAATAAAAGAAGGCCATCCAGTATGTTCCAGTATTATTCGTGAACATCGTGATCTTTTCGGTTCCTTGTAAACATTCGTTAAATGTAATCTCTTCTAGCAGTTTTATACATTTAAAAGAAAATGCATCTCCTAATATGATAAATACATATACAAATATGTATGTCGCATGCATGCATGCCTACATGTCTACCCTGTGTACCTCGACTTACATCACCCACTCCGGAACCAATCACAACGTAAGTCCGGGGCCTTATTATAAAAATAAGAAATTGACGCCAATGTTTATTCTCTATCGTTATATCTTATTATCCTTGTTCCTCGGCATTTTTAGCTTAATGGACCTTACTCAAGACATGAAAGCTGCACTGTACTATCCATTTTTAACGAAAATGTTAACGGGACATTACAGGAACAAGAGGGGTTTCTCTCTAGGTCAAAGATGTCTAACTTACTTCCTTCACGCTAGTAACTCGGAAACAGTGTTCCCCCACTACTTCTAGTCAAAGAGTTGCCAATGCTGTGCCTGTGAGCAATTCTATGTTTTAAATCGCTTAATACAAACAGGTAAAAGAGTAGGTATGGAGAAGGTAACTTTTCGTGAGAGGAGTGTCACTATAGTGTCTGCGGACATCCAGTTAGTCACCCTTGCTGTAGGCGTTGTTGTTTATAACTTCCATTGGTTATGTGTAACCGCATTGAAAATGAAACGAAAACAGATGAAAACTGGCCAGTTAGATTGGCATTCCTTTTATTAAGATTCTCGTTAGAGACGCAGAAAAGGTCCTTTGCGAACTAGAGCTGTCTTCAGATCTCACGAAGCAGACAGTGAGTCACGCAAAGAACCAATGCCATAAAAGAGTTGAGACGATGATGCCGTGCGAGTGAGTTTAAGCGAGGCTCACAGAGAGGGGATTTAATTGAGAAAGAATCGCGTTGCTACGATATTCGTCAAGGTGTCTCGCTCACGGATTACGCCACCGCGAGACCCCAACTCTTAGAGAATATGGCTCGCTGAGCATGTCGATCCTGCTCTTGTATTTGCCTCCTTTAATTCTGTGCACTAGATAATATTTCTCTTACATGCTACTCTACTCTTTAGTAGAGTCTAATGTTCCTGACAAAATATCTGACAGTCAATATCTTATTTTCATGAATTCAGTGTTGTTCTAAAATTAACGGAGTAGTTATGTACAGTTAGGCTAAAATGTGTCGGTTGTTTTAGAACAATACTAAATTCATGAAAGTACAACACTGAAATTTGATTTAATTCATACCGCTGGGTACTATCCATTTAGTTGAAATCAATTAGAACTAAAGTGGTTGGTGAAACCGAACTCCTCTGATAATCGAATGATAGATAATTGATGTTTTATTATGTTATATAAGGTCAAGGCATACTAAAGGGGGGTAGTAGCCTGTCCTGAAGCACTAGATACTTTATAAATTTTGTTAAATTATTTATAAAATGAGGAAAATGCAATAAATGGTGCATATAGTCATATAACATTTTTTATTAACTATATTAGTGATTTACTTTTTATAGTATTGTCATGTATTTGAAGATCACCCTAGATACTTAAACCTTTTATGAATACAGTGGAGTCCCGATTATTCGAGGTAATATAGACCGTATCCGATAAAACGAAAGGGTTAATAGATGCTTCTAAATTTTATAATGAAATTATAAAAAGTATGTTGATAATATAATATTATGTATTGAATTTTAAATAATTACATATTCTTTCCTTCACCTATTGTGTTGCGTAGGCGTCTTAATAAATGAAATGTAGGATAGGATAAAGTTGATTCGATAACAACTACATAGACCATTACAATGTGATATTTTCAAAGTTCCTAGGATAACACGGAGTACGTTTAAACAAGACTCAGATAACGGAAACTTTGGATCTACTTCGATTACAATCTATAGCCTATGATCATTTTTTGTCTATAGTTATCTTTTCAGTTCCCTTGATAACCGAGATACGTTAAATGCTTAATACAATCGGCTATTTACATCTTCTGTATTTGAAGTGAGAGTAAATAGGTATATGCTACTTGTAAAAGGTTCGAGTATTTCTAACACTAAATTACTTATTTTTGAAATTTATACGTATTAACCAGTTAACTGCGTTTAATGAGTATATACGTCATCTTAAAAATTCTTCTTTGTTTTGCTTTGATCTTTCATTAAAGTATAACCTACGCGCATTGGTTCTGTGTTTGACGAGTATACGCTTCATGTTTTGATTTTATTGCACGCAAAACGAGAGATTTTTTAAACTAAATTCCACAGTAAACGGGTTAATTCTACAGTTCGAAATCAACCTTTATAAGATGATTACATGGGAAATGCATTTATTGAAATTTTATTATCTCTAAGTAATAATTAAACACTACAAAATGATAGTTAATTATTTATCTAAAAGTGACTCAAGTTCATATTATAATAATTTGAAAGAAACACAAAGAAATGTTCCATTTTATTTTGAGCTCAAATTTATTTTGAAGATAATCAATTGGTAATAGCAAAATAGTTTTTTACTTTGATGAGTGCGTAATGAATACCATTGATTTTTATTAAATTAATTTAAACATATTCATTGTGAATCTCACTCTTCACTATTCGGTAAGGGGTTAATCCCATCACTAATGATTGCATATTGTACGAAACTAGGCTATCAGAAATAGATATCAACGAAATAAACTATTAACACTTCACTTAAATAAAATCATAATTCATAGTCTAATATGTATATAAATAATTTTCTAAGAATACAGTGTACTTCCCTGTTTTTCTGTTACTATGAATCACTATGGAAAGTACGTACGAGAAGATTACGAAAGACTCACAAACTCATAAACAACTCACTTCTTCGTATATCATGAAATGTTTATAAACACTACACGAAAGGTTAAATATTAATAACGAATGATAATAATGTATCAATAACACTGGAAATAGTAGAATGGCGTAGTATATGTAGTATTCTTCATTAATAAGGTCGTTCAAGGTTGTTTTAAACAGAACATCTCTTTATTGTTTTTATTTATTAGGAAAATAAATAATAAGTTCAAAATATTTTACTTTTAAAAAGAATTCAAAGTGATTAGTAGGACAATACGTATTGTTGCGATACATCGAACTGACGAGGTTGAATTGAACTAGAAAGGACGTATCGAACCAAAGACTATATCGTACAACATTTGTAAAAAATTGTAAATGGAATAGTAAAAAGAACGTTCAGTAGATCATTATGTCGCAGGCAAGCATCCCTGGGCTTTTAAATAATATACTTTACAAGTGTAGGGATTTGTATTACGTAATTTAAATGCTTAAATATGTGAAAAATACCAGATGCGTGTGGAATATTCTATTTTTTTTAGTCGAAACGTAGTTTTGTATACAAATGGACGATACTGGACATACACTGGTGAGTACACGCACTGGTGTATAGTATGTAAGTAGTGAGATGGTGAACCTAATAGAGTCATAAACAGAAGTACACTTGAGTTTTGAATACAACAGTTAATAAATTGTGTCACAGCAGTAAAGCAGTAGTACAGTGCGTTACTCCACCTCAGCTCGCGGCTCGCCCAGTAACAAAGACGTACCGAAACTAATTCCGCCATTACTATCAAGCCGAGCGCTGCAAGTGGACGTCTCCCCTTGCTTCTCTTCATTTTTAAGTCGCAGCCTGGCTTGGCTCATGCGAGTAACGCACTGTAGGATAGACCGAGGCAAACAAGATCACGGGGCGAAACGGATAAAAATAAGAATATTGACCATCTTTGTTACGTTGTTATAGAAATCAGCATGCTAACTATCCATATTACTTCATAAACCTTCCCTACACTTAATCCAATATACCTTCAATTGTTTCAAACTGTTGTTTGCCACCAGCACGTGTTATTCGGAATTTCACTGTAAAAATGACAAGCTAAGCTTGGAAATTCAAATGTGTTAATTATTATTAGTCTCTAAGGTGACTAAATTCAGTATTTAATGTACTTTACATTATTATATTGTATTTTGTTCATTTGTCGTATTCACTTATTTATATATAGACATACAAAGAAAAACAAATCAAGGATCACAGAATCCAGAAACAATATAAGACAATAATAAAAGTTAATTCCAAAGAACTGACCATACGTCACCCCGAAAATTATCGCATACCTTGTATATACAATTCTACAAGACGACTCACTTGTCGAATAATTAAAAAAACCAATATTACACTTGGTATTACCTATCAATAAAATGATACTTCTGGAAAGACAATAAAAGAAGTAAACGACTAGGTTAAAGAAGGACACTATTAAAAGAAGAATGAAGACTAATAAGGACGGATGAATTAATAACATAAATACAGAGTCTTCCAGAGAATAATATTGCACTTGTTGATTCTACGGTTTTATAAATATTTGTTTTCAGTTGTTACAGCGGAACTGATCTTAGTCAATTTTATGTTAAACTAAATGTATAATTTTGACAAAAATATTAAATTCATTGCAATAAATTTTTAAAATAATATTTAGGAATAATATTTTATTTGGTGTATGCTACAAGTATTTTTGATTTTACTTCAAAATACTCCAAATCTTATTTTTGTTGAATTGATTTCGTTTCTACGAAAAATAGATAAGTGACAAAAATGTTGAGCTATATATTGTCACGCGCATGCATCGGATCATTGTTACTTTTATAAAAAAATAAATAAACTTACAAGTAATAACAGCGGCGAGTAGGCGTACCGCTCCGTACGGAGGTATACAACCTGGCCAAGCAGGTTGCAAAATGTATTCAGCAAATGTGAGGGCGGTGATTGCATTTCCCGTTGGAACCAGAATGAAGAATGCCACCCAGACGTAGAGGAACGCAGGGAATGGCCCAAAAGCGTCGCTAATGTACGCGTAATCGCCTCCGGATTTGGGAATCATCGTACCTGAAATAAATACATTTTTCTAATGGATATTTAATCAGAGACAACTAATAAGGAAAAGACCCGGAAATTCAACAAATTATGAAACTTTGTGTGTAGATGGACTAATACATTGCAATTTTTTCTTCATGCCGAATTCTACTTTGAAGGGGTGAAACCACCCCTTGAAAAAAATGCAAATTTTTCTTTCCTGTGGATTATCTTGAAAACGGTAAGAGGTAGCGAAAAAAAGTATAAACGAAAAATACATTGTCTTTCACGTCTATAAAACTGTAAAATAAAATTTTCAAAATTTGTATTCTGCAATTTTATAGATGTAAAAGAACGACGTATTTTTCAATTAAACTTTTTATTATCTCTTACTGCTTTCAAGATATCAGGAACGAAAAATTTACATTTTTTTCAAGGGGTGATTTCATCTCTTCAAAGTAAAAATCGGCACGAAAATAATTAGGTTTAACAATATAGTAGGTTTAACTTACTCTACTCACTGTGCTTCCTCTACTTTGCAGTCAAGGATTTTTTAAACGTCTACAAACTCTTCTCATAAAAAGCTGAAAATGCATCATAGTCTTAAATACTAGGAAGGAAGAAAATGAATTTCAATTTCGCGTTATTTGAGTAATGAAATGATTTACTTTTAGCTTTCGATTTCAGATATGCAAGCTCGAAGTCGCAGTTATAATGACATTAGACTGTAAAGATTTAATTTATATATAATTCTTCTTTAAGTTTAATTTAAAAAATATCACCTACACTTCATTAGAAAACAGTAATTGTTTTTAATAGAAAACTCTTGAGTGCAGAGGGTTAATATCATTGTACAATAGGACCTCGATTAACCAAGTCGCTATTTTCCCTGATCTAAATTGTCTACAGTCTTAATTAATCCTTTTAGACATGATTTTCCGATATTATGTGCACTTACTAAACAATAGAAGCCTGCTATTCAATGCACCATCAGTAATGGCATATATTGTGGATAAAAAATGATAGTATACTGCTTCTATGATATGACATCAAGTCTGAAGGTGTTAAATTTGGATTCATAAATAATACCTCAATATACACAAATTATACAAATATATTTTGAAAAATTTCTTCCCGAGTCTTCATTTACCTAGACAGTTAGTTGCTCAATTCAATCGGATAATCGAGATTCTACTGTTTATACTTTTTACGCGAACTGACAAGAAGAAAATTTACGATAACAGTCTGCAGCGTCCGCGAAAGACAACCGAGACGAATCGGCGGAATTACATCACAATTAGCGGCAGGGGTAATTTAATAAACCATGGGTTGACCTTTTTTCAGAGTTCAAAGATCAGGTCAGATTGGCTGCGCGCCTCGACACGATTCAATTACGTTAAATTGACCGTCCTAGGAATTGAGTCACGAGCGTCTGAATACACGTCGAGGAAAACACTAACTCGTCTACGTCATTGGTCAGTCGTTTCTTTGCTAAATTCTCACGCTTTCGGAACACTGTTTCGTCGAGTAAACTTTCACGATAACTCAAAAGAAGTTTATCAATATAACAGAAAAGAATTGCAGAATGTGAGAAATTTGCCAAATTCATTTGAAATTTATTAAGCCACTTAGAAGACAAAAATGTCTTCTTTCGTGCTTCTTTTGTAATACTTGAATAAGAGTGATAATACAAAATTTATAAGTTTTCATGAATTTGATGCTGGGATGTAGAGATGTAGACGATTACTACAGATTTAAATATAGATCTGAGACAAGAATAACAATATGCTTCATATATGTATACTCAATCACCCTTTAGAGATAGAAAAATAGATCTCAAAGTCGGATAAGCACCCCGATTTTTCGTATGTACTTCATTATGATCAATTTACAGTGCAAGAGGTAGGGAAAAACATAAGAAATACAAAGTTTTAATTTTGAAAAAAGATTTTTTCGAAGAATTTTGTTTGATTTTCTTCGTTGTAAGCCACTGTATAAAATAAATATTATAACATATTTAAATTGTCAAAATATATTAAATATATTATTATAAAGGAATCAGAAACACTGTAGTTCGTATGGATATTTTTATATACATAATAATCTAGTAAAAATGACTCATATCAATCTTTTAATTTTACAGTTACTGAAATCATAAAGATATTTCTAAGAAATACTTAAGTATACAAGATATATTTAATCATTTAATTGTGAGTTCCAAGAGTGCTATTGTGTTCCCCTGATGCTGAGCCGAGGAATTCAAGTAGCGCTATCACTCTATTATGTTTTCAATTGAATAGTCAATTATTGATAATTTTGCACGACTGTTTGTAAAGTGACTATTTTCATACCTAACGCTCTAAATCAGATAACATCGTTTGATAATTCGAAAATTGACAAAGACATCAATTGTTTCGTGCAACGTATTATTCCACTCAAATTTTTCATACATTTTTTACGTAAAATAATAGTCCTTTCAGGTCTCAACAGAATATCTCAGTTGAAAAAGAAGTCATTGCATTGGTTTTACTGATGATTAAAACTAAAATGAATACAACTAATGTTAATCTAGTTTCTTATTGACAAAATGTTATATGTATATATCTTATCAAAGTTTGCTCTTCGTTCTGGAACGGTTAATACGAAGCAAAACAATATGGGATCAGTTCTTTTATTCACGTACATACGTATACAGAATGTTTGAAAAAATGTTTCAATATTTATATAATATAAGACACACTATACTGGGTAAAGAAACCGCAATAACATAAATTGAATTTTTAACTGTTTCTGAAGTATGAACGCCTTTTTTGTATATTAACAGTCGATGATACGAATGATAACATTGCACTATTAATTGTAAGTTGATCAATTTCACATAATTTTTCGTAAGTTAACATCATCCTTTTTTGAATTCTCGAATGTCTAGAATTTTTTGAGTCATTTATGTGATGAAGTTAACCGTGGAAAAGAGAGTTACTTTGTAAGTCAAGCTACATAAAACGTATCTCATACCTGTAGTAATTTTATGTACATATTTGGTATCATCATCACTAAATACATTTAAAATAATTCTATTCTAGAGAGAAAAACATGCAGAACAAATCTTGAGTATTCCTTATCCTTATCGATGAATATATTATAGAATTAAGAAATGCATCATATTTAACAATTTAACAATTTTCTAAAGAATTCGATATTTTATGTTATACTACCTAATAGGATTACAAAATCATATCAATTTATTTAAAATTATTCCATTTACATAGTTAATAGGAAACAAAACTCATCATCGGACAAATTTTTTTGTTTCGTCGTGTTTTTTGTCCTCCTTTCTCGTCTATCTTTTATTAACATATTTTTTAATGATATTTGCCCAGTAGAATCTATTCAGATGACTCGTTTTCCAAGGACATGCACGGTTAGCTAAATATTTGGAATCGTCCGCTGAATTTTAAGTAAAATTACAACGCCCAAGATATATTCGCCAGAATTAAATTAAAACTTTCAACATTTAGTTCGATTCACATCTGATTGAAAATCATGGACATGCAGTTATTCAGACAAGATTCTCAATTGTTAATTTCTGTGTAATTTTTTGTACATATTTCCCGAAAATTACCATTGACTTACATTAGATAATGTCGGAAATTTTAAGGATGATGGTACGGTATGAGAAAAGATGCAACTTATTCATAAGCCTTTGTAAATAAATTAGTTTTTGTAAACAAGTATAATTATTTACAATTATTTATAGTTATTGTGACCTTCCATTTTTTGTCAAAAACAGCACAGTTTGAACCATATAGTTATCCTGGATGATATTGTTTACTTAACCCCTTGCCCTATAATATCATGTCACACTTGTGGTGAAGGTTTTGAACTGAATTTTACAAATCTGAATTATTTGCTTCTTTCGAATATTAGTTAAATTCCTTTCGTAATGAATTATTAACGTTAAAGTAGCTTTACCAAGCACAGTTGTGAAAGAAACCATTACACATTATTCTTCTGTCATCACTTATTATATTTTAGAGCATGCGTGGACATAAAATATGCCTACAATTTTTCTCTTTCTTCAATAAATTATTAATGACAAAGTAGTTGTATCAATTATAGTTGAGAAATAAGTCATAAGGCAAAATCTTAACCAATGTTCTATCGTACGTTGTTCCTTTATATCAAGATCAAACAAAATCTTAAAGATTAGAAGAGAAATAAAAATTAATTTTTTATATTATAAAGCTAAAAGTGGTGTAAATAATTCATTGTATTTTATTGAGCTGTTCACTTTATAGTGTTTTACATACTTAAATTTTCCATAAGAGCATCGAATATACAGTATAATCACTGCCAGATAGGAAACATCAAATATCGAATACAAGATAAGATATTTGGTGTTCATTTTTTATAAAGTAAATTTCATATTTCTAATTGAAAAATAGCTTATTATTTCTTTGTTAATGTAGTAGTAATTCTATTATAACACTCGAATACAATCTTTGTCTTCCAAACCTAGTGACAGTGAACGAGAGTATCAAGTCATTTCGGAGCAATGTGCCAAAAGCGTAATTAGAACGACCGCAATTGATAAAACGCTCGGAAACTGGTAACCGGTGGAGCAGCTGACACTGTGCAGTGCTCAGTCATATGAGATTCCAGTAAAAAATATCAGTGTATTTTGAGTGTTTAATAAAACCAAAAAATAAAAGGAAAATATTTGGAGAATTACCAATTAAGACAGAACAATCAAGACAATAAATTTAAAAAATCTAAATGAAATACAAATACTAATAGTTTAATATTAATACTACTTAATAATATTGTATATACAGGGTAACTCATAAATTGTAGTACAACTGAAATGAAAATTATTCTATGTGAAAAATAGTAAATAATTAAAGATTATTATAGATTAATAGATGATAGATTGTATATTAATTAAAGAATACAATAAATACTTCGGCAATTAACTCGTCAAATTTGACTTGAACAATACAAAAAGTGGTATATAATATTTTCAGTATTTCCTA